AAAGAGCCTCAAATAAAGTCATACCAATGCTTTGAATTATAACTATTATTGCAAGCAAACTCAATCAAAGGCAAATAATTATCCCAATCACCCATGAAGTCAACCACATAAGCTCTCAACACTTCTTATAAAGTTTGAATATTACGCTCCGCTTTCCCATCAGTTAGAGAATAAAAGGTCATACTTAGCTTGACACAACCAAGACCTTTCTGGAAAGACTTCTAAAATTGAGAAGTAAATTGAGTACAACGATCATAGATAATAGATAGGGGCACTCCATGCAACCTAACCATATCCCTTAGATACAACTTAACATAGTCCTTCATTAAATAAGAGACCTTGAAAAGAATGAAATGAAACAACTTTATCATACAATCCATAATAATCTTAATCGAGTTGTGTTGTTGCCTCGTGCAGGGTAAACCAACAATAAAGTCCATATTCAAAGCTCTCCACTTCCAATTAGGTATACTAATATCTTCGGAAAAACCTCCCGACTTTTTGTGATCAACTTTCACATGTTGACACGTAAGACATTTAACCACAAATTTCGTAAAATGTTTCTTCATCTCATTCCACTTATAGAACTCCCTAAATCACGATACATCTTGGTGACTCCGGTTGAACAACATATTGAGAACTATGGACTTTTGATAAAATTTTAACTCTCAAGTTATCAACATCGGGATCACATAAATGACCTTGATACCGAAGTACACCATCTTCTCCTTGGGGAAATCCTCTACAGGCTTTTTAAGAACCACTTGCTTCAGCGCAACTGAAATCGGATCAAGACCTTTCTTGAAGTTCACATCATCTATCTTTAGAAGAGGATACTTATTCCTAAAAGTGACCTAATTCAATTGTTGGTAGTCAATACATATGCAAAGTAAACCTTCTTTCTTATGAACAAGCAAAATTGGACCACCCTATGAAGAAATACTCGACCGGGTAAAATCCTTATCCAATAAATTTTCAATGCTCATTTAATTCCTTAAGTTGTGTCGGAGCTATCAGGTTAGGAGGAATATAGAGAGGTTGAGTTTCTGGGAGAAGGTTAATATCACAGTGTATTTCTATTTTGGGAGGCACGTTGAGAAAATCATCGAGAAATATTTGAAGAAACTCATTCATAAGGGGGACCAACTCAAGAGTAGGATTTTGAGAATCTCTATCCCTAAAACGAATGAGGTGATATATGCAACCCTAAGAAATCATATTTTTGGCTTTAAGACAAGAAACAAACTAATCCTTAGGCATAGAATTTCATCCTTTCCGCTCTAGGATGGAATCATTTGGAAACTAAAACTCTATCACTCGGGCTCTACAATCAATAAAGCATAACAAGAATGAAGGTAATCCATACGAAGAATAACATCAAAATCTAACATAGAATCTCATAGCCACAATAGATTCACTAGTAGGAGTAGAGATATAAAAAATATCTAACAACACATCGGGAGAAACATCAAGCCTCATAGCCCCATAGGGCGTCACAAAGACAAGGTAGTACTGGGATCTACCAAATAATAGATATCATATGAAAGACTTTCAACATACCAGTAACAACATCGGAAGAACCCTCTTGCTCATATCGAATTTGAAATGCAGTTTTGTTTAGGAAGTTGAACTCGAGTCACTAGGTGAAGCATGCTTACCATCATTTCTCCTGTCAATTCAAAATGGACATTCTCTCAAGAGGTGACCACTCTTGCCACAACTAAAACAACTGTTTGTGCCAATCAAGCATTTTTCGGGATGATTCTTGCCACACTCTCGGCATGCAAAAATCGAATATCTATTTCCACCACTAATTTCTCCGTAAGGCTTAGGTTTATACATACCTCTTTTTGTTAAACTAAGGAGTCATAGTATTGGAGGAACCTTGACCGAAAAACCTTTGTGGAACTTAGAACGACCATGTCCATCGGACTTTTAATGTGAAAAGTCACCATAATCGGTATTTTCCCTCTTTGCCTCCCCATACCTTAAGTTTCTCCAGTTAAATTTGTTAAGCATGAACCGTTAGACAAAAAATGTCCATTTCCTTAATGAGCATAGCCATACGACATTCCTTAACCACAATTTCGGACACTATCGAAACAAATTTGCTCATTTTTTCCCTTGGATCGACAATCATAGTAGAGGCATATCTAGACAATTTTGTGGACTTAAAGGCATACTCGATCTTTTGCATTCATGTTATGGTTAATGAATTCAAGTATCTTTACCTCCCTCATATCAAGGGAAAAGAACCTATCAATAAAAGCAATATTAAACTTCCCCTAACCAAGAGGACCTAGATCAACAACTCTCTCTTCCTTCCATTGGTTGAACCAAACTTCAGCAACACCCCTAAGTTGGTAAGCTGCCAATTACAAAGACTTTGAGTCGATCGACTAACTACTATTAATGCATTGTGGAAGACTCCTCATATTTTCATCTCTTTTGATGGGATCAACTCAAGATGATATATTATTTTAGTGTTCTAATAATAGTTAATCGAGGTTCCAAGAGTTGAAGACTTTGATGACTTCCGCTTCTATTCTAATATTATTTTTCTCTAATATATGAAAATATTTTTAGTTATTGTAGTTTTAAGTGTGCGACATAGAATATTAAAACAAAAAATTTACTGAATATAGATAAACATTTCTTTTCAATGAACTAAAAGAAAACTTTTAATGAAAAGAGAGATGGAACATATATAATGATACTTGGTATATTTTGGGGCATTTCAATTTTTTGAGGCCCTAAAGAGTTGGCCTTACTTGCCTTACCAGCTAATTGGGATTGATGTTATAAAATGTCTCTGGTCACAAGAGGGTTTAACCGGATCCCCTCCATTTCAATTATTTGTTAAATTATTTGGATAGTGAAAATATATTTTATTTGATCATATGGTTGAAGTTATTATTTTTTATTTCAATTTGTTTATATTAGACTATTTGAATAACTAAAAGATATTTTATTTGATAATAATTTTTTAAAAATGTTTTTTAAATATTTTGAATTGCCATAAATTATTGTGGTATTTAGTATATTTTCATATATTTTCTTGGAAAAAAGATAAATATATCTCTAAACTATTATAAATGGTATCTAAATAATCTTCGTTATATTTTTGGGACACTAATAACCTTATCATCTAAGTGTTTGAATGTATATAGCCTTTGAACTAATGAAGGGACACATCTCATAATCTTAAAGGCCTATTCAATTTTTTTTTAATTTTATCCATAATTAAAAAATCAATCCAAAAATTGACGTAGATAATTATAACACAAAAAAACCCTAAATGACCCAAACACAAATAAACCCCATTTTTTCCTTTTTCGCAGTCCACCAAACAACTAAACATTCCGCGAACCAGATCCACGTCAGAATTTCACCGTATGACCACGATTCGTTTGTCTCAGGGCCGACCCAACAACATTGTGGGCTTAAAATGAAACTTAAGAGAGGGCTCCTGTAATTATTTATTTATTTATCATGTATATTTTTATTTAAAATTTACTTTTCTAACTCTTTTAGATGTAAAATTATGAAGTACTATTTTATGATCAATTGTTTTATAAGTTATATACTTAATTGATTCAATCTCTCTTGATACATTATTGATCGTAAAGAAGATTAATTCAATTTTAATTTCGAAAAAACTTTTTTGGCTGAGGTAATAGTTACATGAACTATTAATACTATCTTATAAGCAATATGACTTTTTATTTGATTGAGTATTTTCATTAGACTTCTACTTGTATTATTTCTTTTAATACTTTTAATTCAAAAAGTAAATCTAAATCATCAGTATCATAATAACTACTATGTGTTATAGAAAGTTTAAGGTTAAGATAATTTTTTTTAAAGTTTTCATATCTCAATATTTTACCATTTAATAAGAAATCATTTTTTTTTATATGTTTCAATTAATTCAAATCTATTTTTAAATGAAAAAATAGTTTGATCTACTCTACATATATAAAGTAATCAACTCTAGAAGATTCTTCAAGGGACTTTATGGTTTCGTTATCCATATTTTCATCAAATTGTTTCTTATGAAATTTAGGTTAATATTCATCTAACATGCCATTTCCTTAGTAGAAATCGCAGCACTCATATATATATATATATATATATATATATATATATATATATTTAAACCCCAAGCGATGATTTTAGTGACCTAAAAATTAAAACGACCCTGATTTAGATTATTTTACATTTTATACTGAGAAACTCTTTTAACAAAAACTTTGGATTTGTCACTGCTTTCATCCCCACCCCATAGAGAAAGGATTTAATAAGTACCACTTTCCCTCTCCTATAAAAAGAACTAAAATTATTTACAATGAAATTTTGATGCTTGTAATATATAGTTCGTAACATAATCAAGTAGTTGTAATTTTAGGTACGTAAAAAGTTGTAATGCGGCATGCGGGTTGTGGTCGTGTCGTATAGTGCATGAAAATACACAAAACCAATTAAAGTAAAGAGAAGAAAAGAAAGATTATCCCATGTACCAATACATAATTAGATTAGTTCAAATTTGAAATTCTATCACAATTCATTTTATTTACTGAAATTGAGGTTAATTATTCATACTTACTATTTTTATTTTACTTTTAATTATCATAATTTCTTCTTTTAGAGTCAAATTATAAAAAAAAATTCACTAATATTTTACAATGTAATTTTTCTTTTAGTATTTTACTATCTAAATTTTGTTTGAAATATCAAATTAAAGTAATCTAATCTAACTTTGAAAATTAGTCAAATTAACTTTTGAAAAATTTAACATGACAAATTAATCTGAATGGATGGAGTAATATTTCTTGCAACATGTAGTCATAGTACGAGCCAAATTAAAGTTAATGATATTTGATTGAATCCACAATTTATTCTTTACGTATGCTATTAGTTATTACTAGTATAGACATCTTAATAATCGAAGACGACATAAATATTAAATGTAGGATCTATCAGAATTCAACAATTTAGACTCGAATCACTCAGAGAAACAACAAAAATTCATAAATTTTAAATTTTAAATTTGTGAAGGTGCTCCCTCCATGTCACCACCTCATCTCTCTCTAGCTTCAAAAAATTAAAGTAGGAGAATCACTTCACTCCAACCTATAAAGAAAAACCAATCACCCATAGTCCAAGTGGTAAATCTAATACTCTCTACTTTTGCTTCTCTCCTTTTGTCTAATTCCTTCATAAATTTCTCACTTTCTATGTCTTTCTCTTCTAAGGTAAAAATAAAATAAAATAAATCTATAGTAAAAACTCTATACTTTTGTGTTCCCTTTTTCTTCTTCTTACCCTAATAGAAATTTTAAAAATATATACATATGGATAGTAGTAGTGATAGAATTAGGTTGTACAAGAGGTTATGGGGTTCAATTGTATTATTATTAGTTGTTTGGTTATTGTTGGTTAGTGTCTTGGAGAATAGAGCAACAAAGATAATGAAGAAGCAAAGGACAAATAGTATTCATTCAAAGATGAATCTCAACTTCATGAGTATTAAAAGAAGAGTTCCTAATGGCCCAGACCCTATCCATAACAGGTATATCAATGTTTTAATTATATATGCCTTTAATTCTTCATTTAGTTTTTGTAATTTTTTACTTCTAGACACACGTGTGTCCGATGAAATAGGTGAAACATATTCCCACAGAAAATTATTATTATTGAACTTTCATCATGTTACTAATGTTGTCATTCATTAAGAAAAATATTTGAATGTATCAATAATAAATTATATTTCATTAAATTATTCTCATCATTTTCTCAAATGACTATAGTCATGAAGGTACTATTATGTAAACAAAATACTCTTTAACATCTAATGATTGTCTCAACTAAACGGACGTGAGCCAATTTAATTAAATATTTTATATTTCAAGGTGTAACTTTTCTCTCCTATTCCTTTGTCCTACCTTTGATTCTTTCTTCTTGTTTTCCTTCTCCTAGTTACATGTATTCCTTGAATTTATTTTTTGATATTAAATATTCTAATATTCTATGTGCATTATTTTAATGGTGATAACCATCTTATTCAAAAAATAAATAATATTAGAAGTCGACAATAGAGTAATTCTACCAGCAAAGAGTCCTATACGTTTTGTTGTAACATCTGCTGATATACCTCAAATTAAAAAATTCAAATAATATTATATTTTGTCTACTAAATTTCATTTTCAAGATGTACTTTTATATGAGAGCCGGATTTTTCATAATGGATTAATCACACAATGATTTCTTTTTTTAAAAAATATTGTACCGGTAGTAGTTCCATTTGAAATTTTCAAATAACATAGTGTATATTTAAATTAACTTATATATTTCAACATGTGTCGTTTTTCACTTGCAATTCCAGAATTCTTTTCTCATAAGTCAAGCGCGTAGGTATGTCATATATATATATATATATATATATATATATATATATATTTTGAACTCCCTAAAAAACTAATAGAAATAGATGGCTCAGTGACAAGAGCCTTGAATATTAAGTTGGATGTCCCTAGTTCAAATCCCAACATTTTTTAGCTTTATATTTTATTTTCAAAAAGGTGCTAAAAGTGTGGTTTTAAGCCAAAAAAATTCAAGCGTCCCAATTCGAAAGATTTATCTACACGTTTATATTTTTATTTTTCGAACTCTCAAGACGAAAATTCTGAGAATCTGTCACTATATATACGTGTATGTGTTTTTTTTTCTCTAGAATAAAAATTAATTACTTCATTCACTATAGTCTAATACTTATTTTTTTGTTTGTCTGTAACAGAAGAGTGGGAAATTCTCATCAACCACATGGTCAAGTTACAAAAGGAGAATTTGGCAAGCCATGAATAAATAAATTAATTTAATTAAATTTCCTATCTTGTATATGTAATTTATTGAAAATGGGTTTGTCAATATATATTGTGAGAGATGAAATTTCATATTAAACCCCAGCTTAATTTAATTTGTTAGTTATTTTTACTACAAAAGTTGTTTAGAATCTTAAGAGGTGGAATGAAAAGATATTAATAATGAATTTGTCTTACACAAGGAAATTCTTTTTTAAAAATTGATCAGTCATTATATTGGGTAGAGAATCCCAAATAAATATCTCAGCCCACCCTCCAACCTCCCCCCCCCCCCCATTTTTTTTTTTAATATAGTGCAAGTATATGAGAGACAAATAAATTCGAATTTAAAATTTATGTATTTGATTTGTTTTTATAGAATTCATATCATATATTGTAGATTTATATTCAAGGTTTCAATCAAAGTTACTTTTTGTTGTCAAATTTATATCATATTTTGTACATACACCATTATATATATAACTTTCTGTACTCCTATTATTTTATGTGAACTTATTAAACTACAAATGAGTTTGCAGAAATATTTGAAATTTACAAGTTAATATGTCATCATAATGATTGCATTTAACTCATATATTTAGTTATAACATTATATATGTATGTGACTATAAAATTTTGCTATTAAGTGTAAAATAGATAGTTTAAGTTAAATTATTTTTAAATTTACAAGAAAAAAAGGGATAATTTTTTAGGGAGGACGATAGAAGCTTTGGCTTGTGAAAAAGAAGTTGTTTTATTCTCTAATTATTGGTTGTTTTGCTTATGAAATAGCATGTGTTCAGAAACTAAAGCAAATCCACCATTAAAAAGTGTTGAAAATGCAAAGGGAAAAGGTAGGGATTGCCTCTATGTGTTAGTCCTTTTCATAAGATTCTTTGTTTTTGTGACAACTTTTTTGGCCTTTTGTCCATTCAAACATTGTTCTAAAATCAAGAAGAGAGATTTTCTGGTTTCTAGCATGGCAATCTAAATCAAGAAGAGAGATTCTCTAATTTATAGCATGACAATCCAAATCTTGAAAGAACTAAGTTGGTGCAAAAATACTTTGTAATAATAATTTAGAATAACCTGCTATAATCAGTTAAATTATATTGAAAGTATCAATAAATTATGATGAACTCTAATTCATTTGATGCTGGCAATACTTTTCTCCTCCTTTCTCCGTTAGTTTAGTTGAAACAATTGTAAACTCAAAAAACAATTTATTTCTATGAAATTTATGATATATATGAACAATATAAATGTTTTAAATTTGATGCATGAAGTAGCAAGTTACTTAGCTTTGTAGTGAATTGTCAATTAATGCTTACCATATTTTCTAGTAACTTATTATAAAAAGTAAATTTCTTTTTTACATCTCCAATACATAGAACTTAAACACATATACACTTTAAGTTACATATAAAACCTAAATCCATTTTAGAGAGGAGAATTAAGGCTGGCAAGTTATAAAAATAAGGATGGTACTTTCTTGAAAGAAGTTCATAGTGAAAGACAAAGTAGGCTCTGTATTATGCTTTTCCTAGCTTTATCCTTTATCATTTATTGGATTTAGAAGCAAAGACTTGGTCTAAAGTTTTGAAGATTCAAATAGTGATAATTTAATTGCCTAAAAGGGAAAAAAGAAAGAACAAGATGGGATAAATCTACAATATTATAGGAGATATACATTGATATATGTATCTCTAAAATTTAGGCAAAACTTTTACATGAAAAAATTACGCAACAAAACATACATGTGCTATTTATTTATAGAACACAATTATAGTTTTGAAAATTAAAGTACAACGAACCACTATATGTTTTTTTTAACAGTAAATCTGTTGTTTATACTTAACCTCCTAAAATAAAGTCAAATTTCACTCTCCCTCAACCCCACTCTCTCTCTCATCCTTCCCGCTTCTCTCTACTTTCCTTCTATTTTTTTTTCAAAATGAAGAATTATCCCAAAATCGATTTCCATTCTAAATTCAAATCTCTGAAAAAATTTGACCTCTAGGTCATTTTTGTGTTTATGCATCCTTTTTGTCAGGGGCGGAGCTACCTTCATACAAGTGGGTTCATCCGAACCCTTTTCGGCGAAAAATTATATTATTTATACATGGTTAAATAACTTTATATGTATATATAGATGATGTCGAAACCCATTTGGCTATTTATTCTACATATTTTGAACCCTCTTATTGAAAATCTTGCCTCCGCCTCCGCTTTTCACTGTTTAGATCATTCTTGTAATGACTCCAAGTCATATATGACTTGATAGGAGACAGTTCGGTCACCTGGCCGTTCCTTTGAATTTATGCGAGTTTTAGTGTTTTGAGAGCTTTTGAACCTCGAATATTCATTTTTTATCAAAAATTCAGGAAGACGACATCAGAATGTAGTTGTGAAGGTTTCATCAACCTCGAAAGGGCCATTTAGGCTAAGGGTATAGTTGGTTCGGACCTCGAGATTTCTGGTATGAGTTTGTGCCATTAGGCGTTTTAACTTTGAAGCTTACGACAAGGATTGACTTTGATCAACATTTTTGGTAAACATGCTCGGATGAGAATCTCATTAGTGCGGTTAGCTACAGAATATTGAGCTTGGTCTATAACAACCTTTCTTGTGGTTCCTTAGGCTTACGGTCTCATTTTGAGCCTTCATATGGTTTTCAGCTTAAAATCAAAATTGGGTGTGGGATCCAATTTAAATCAAAACAACCTCGAATGGATGGATTCAACGGGTAACATATTTTGTTTGGCGCATGAGATTTCGAATGAATACTGATATCTCATAAGACATTTAGAGTTGAGCAAATCAATGGAAGTGGTAATATATGATTCATACTTTTAGCGACCATTTTCAGGATTTATACCCAGAATCTTCAACTTTCACCCCCCAATTTTCAAGGCGATTTCTCCATCATTCGAGCTTGCATTTTGGTGATTCGAAGTTCCACATGCTTTAAATTTTTGGGCTACATGGTGGAGTGATTGGATTTTCTCGGTGATATTCCGTCTCAGGTAATTTTGGTGTGGAAGTTAGTGCCCATTTCCCTTTATTTTTGTTTTTGTAGTGTTTTGTTGTTTGCGTTATTTTGGGCCACGAATTATGTCTTATTTTGGGATACAACATCAAGACATAGATTAAGACCTTTTGACGAAGTCAATTTTACAAATTTCGGTGCGGGTCCCATGATTCTCATTTGACTCTAAAAATTGGTCCGTCTCTATTTTGAGTGATTTTGGTGTCTAAACGATCCTAGTGATTTTAAGATCCTATTTTTGATAGTGTGACAACGTTCAGAAGGGAAAATATCTAACCTTGTGATTTGGAGAATGGGTAATCAGTCAACATGTAGGTAACAAATTCCTTTCTAATTAAAATGAGCACGAACGTGTAAATTTATGATGAATAGTATGAATAGTGGTTGGGTACCTAGTTATTTCTAATTTTATTCTTTAAAACCATGATTTTAAGTTGATTACCACTATTTAGAGGGTAGTACCATACTGAAAAAGGATTGTATGTATGTTGTAACATGCTATATGATTTGCTAGGATGATTACTTGTTTTAGAGCATGTTTTGGCCTTAGTCTAGGATAGACTAGTGCTTAGACCTATGCACCTTGTGACTATGGTATGTCTCTAACGTTATTTCGGATGAACTAGGTCCATGTAAATTGGAATAAAAACTTGGGTTTAATTGAATAAGCCTTAGTTTAGGCGGTTGTGCGGTTTGTTGTCTCTTTCTATCTCCTCTCCCTATTTCAATGGTTGTGATGCGTTATTGGAGATTCTTTGCTTTCTCGGGATTGCAGTGCTACCGTCTTGGAGCCTTTTACAATATCATTGAGGGTGGACATCGATCTAGAGTGGCTTTTCAGCCTACTTAAGATCCACTTAGGAGTTGATACGTCTCCGATCACTCTTGCTAGGTGAGAGGCCGCCACCAGTAGGAGTGAGATGGCTGGGTGGCATGGATACATGATATCCTCTACGGAGATCACATTACTCCAAGGTACAATATCTAGCTAAGCGGTTAACACCCTTGGGAGTGGATTGTTTGGCTGGACGACCTAGGTTGATTATCACTCTTGCTAGCTGGGTTGGGAGTTGACCGGCTCTTGATTACTTGGGATGGAACCCGACTAATGTTGTTGGATTCAGAATGCATTACTCTTTTTTTGGAGAGTTAGCTATTTTATGTATGTTGGCTTGTGAGGGATAATTTGGTTTACTTAAACTAGTGCATGGGTTTAAGTACTACGAATATGGGTTCTTGCTAAGTTTCCTTTACCTATACTTAAAATTAGTTTTTGGTACGCTCATGTACTTCTTTTCATATCTGCCTTTACCTCTAGTTTTTTCTAAATTCTATATTTTCAGATTGTTTTAACCATTCTTGCTCTTCTGGATTTGTTTTTGTACTTATGCTACAAGTCTGCATCATTTCGTGATGCATGATCTAGTATAAACTACTAGTGGTGATCGTTCGTTCCGTCTTTTGCAACTTATAGATAGTAGAGACGAGGGTTAGATCTTGACGTCGAGGACTAATCTATCAGCTTCTATACTTAAACTACATCCTAGGTATGACTGGGGTTTACACTAGCTTACGAACGAATAAAAATGAAGTACATATGAATGAATGAAGCAGACTCTGTGTTTGCTAAAGAAATCTCCCTAGTTGAGGTCTCATATGTTGAACCCTCATTTTGGGAAATCCTAATGTCAAGTCCATGATTCCAAGGTCTCATGGCATATGGATGAATGATATGAAATATGTTATGTGATAATAAGCAATATGTTATGTGTTGTGTGCAATATGTTACGTATGATGATGCATGTTACTCTTATAGCATGACTTTCCTAATCCAATTTTGGCAAGTCCACTGACTTGACTTTCCATAGTTCATATCTTTAGAGGAGAGCTCTTCTTAATCATGCATGTCCTTGGTGTGTGCTTTTGCATATACCCATACTTAGTACAAGTGTGTACTAATCTCATACAACTCTCTACTTTTAGGTGCACGTGCAGCTGGACGCTAGGTTTTACGAATCGACGCTGAAGTTATCCGGACGTTGAGCTTTCATACTAATATGGTAGGCCCTCATGCTTTCGAGAATGCTTACTATTTTATTCTAGCATTAGACGTGGACATTAGCTAGTGGAGTATGTTCC